GGACTCCAGAAGACATCAAATGTAGTGCATGAGTCATATGGACCACTTTTACAAAGCTTGAAAGTCCATATACACTGCAGTTGCATAGAAACGAACAAGCAAAATTGCTCCTTTTGGGCACGGATAAAAAAAAAGTCATATGGAGTCAAATCAAGTGTAACTGTCCCTGTAATGTGTTTACCTCTTCCTTTCCTTCATCTTTCTCCAGTTGCGCTTGTGTGTCTCTCCATCTATATCTGTCTGAATGCATGACTAGAGCTTTTCCTTGTGTTTTCTCATTCCTTGGCCCCAGTCTCATGAATTTGTGAAGTGATCTGTCTGTGCATTTTTTTAAGAGAGAGAGAATGAAAGCTAGATTGATCTTTCTTGTTTATGCTTACATTGCTTCCTTTGATAGTTTGGCTGCCGTATTTACCCTTGCGTCTGTAACTTTCAGAACGTGCTTGCATTAACATGCTGCTCATTTAAAAAAAAAATGGGTCACTGGTTTATCAGCCTCACCTTTCTATTTCTGTTTCTACATGTAAGCCCTCCTCCCTTTTTTTACTTTGCCACCATCTCGCTATTTCTCCCTCCTCCTCCTCCTCCTCCTCCTCTCTGACTCAGTCTCTGTCTTTCCTTTGCCTAAGGCCTATACTTTTATCAATCCCTGCACTCTAGCTACCTGTTGCCATGCCAACCCCATAATTTAGTGTCTTACACAATGCAATGTGTACACCTGCCTCATGTGCTTGCCTTACCGTGCGAATGCATGAGAATCTTACCTGCCCCACGCCACCGAAGGTGCTTTTAATGACTCATTTAGAAGCGAGCTTTTAATGTTCCGCCTCCTGCGCTCGCCCTGTCATCTCCACAGCCCACACGCGCTCCATAAAGACCCTCTTCAGCTTGAGAGAGCCCGGTGCATAGAGGGAATATTTTTATTGCCAACACGGTTAATGTACTCACTTATTATTAAGTTGACACCGTGTGTGTGACTGTGTGTAAATTTGTGGATTTTTCCCATGACAAGTGGGTGCTTGCTGAATGGCACATATTGCTGCCCTGTGCATATTCATGCCTGTTAGGCATAGGCAAACCGTTTCTAGGCATAGGCAAACTAGGCGGTCGTCTAGGGCGCCACCAGCAGGAGGGGGCGCCAATGAGCACACGTACTGACAATACATTTTAGCAGGGTTGTGATAAAGAGTGGCATGGCCACCCTGAAATATGATTGCCGCCCCCACTGGATCCTCCAGCGTCATTGGGCTAGACTCGAGTACTGTCAATCTGACGATGCCTCTATTCCATTGGATCAGAGTGCTGTCAACTGCTGCCGGATTGTTGCATGCAAAGTTTGCATTTGGAGCACTCAACAACACCGTTAGATCAATGGGTTCTGTCAGTGTTTTGGCAATACAACGTGTTTTTTTTTTTTAGCCTTGCAGTAAAGCTAAGTTCAAAGGCCAATTTAAAATATTGGTACAGTAAAAAAGTGCACAAAATTAGTATTTTGTTAAGGCAGTATTTGTGGCAGTCGAGAAATCACGCTGCAAAATTGGTCCAAAAGATGTGCGTTTTTGTGCCAATACATTGTTAAAGGATCAGTGTGTTGTGTAATAATCCCATATAAACATTTTACGGCCAAATAAAAAAATATTGGTACAGTAAAAAAGTGCACAAAATTAGTATTTTGTTAAGGCAGTATTTGTGGCAGTCGAGAAATCACGCTGCAAAATTGGTCCAAAAGATGTGCGTTTTTGTGCCAATACATTGTTAAAGGATCAGTGTGTTGTGTAATAATCCCATATAAACATTTTACGGCCAAATAAAAAAATATTGGTACAGTAAAATACACTAATTCACAAGATCAATACATCCTTTATTAAACCGCATTGTTGAATTTAACGCATTCTTACAGAAGTGTTGAAATGCTGAATTAATGAATTCACTTCGAACAGCGCTTAATAGGAGCAGCGTCAAACACATAGAGGGCAGAGCATTGCATCATTTAAAGGGGAAGTTCACGCGTCAATGAGTAACAAAGGAATAAGCAGCTGGAGTCTGATTACTTTTATGTGACTGATCAAGCTTTTTTATGTAGTTTGGGGTAACAAAGTGTTTTATGGGTTTGACTGAAATAATAATGAAAAAACGGACACTTTAAATCAACGTTTCAAACAACAACAAAACAATTACACACACACAAAAAACAAACAGATTAAGACAAATAGTAGTCATTGATAATATCTAAACATGTATCCAAATCCAAATATAATCAAATTTATTGGGGAGGGGGGTGCCAATTTGGATTTCGCCTAGGGCGTCAAAATGGCTTGAAACGGCCCTGTGTGCATGTGCATGTGAGTATGAAGTGGGCAGACTGGAAGTGAGCAGCTGTGTGAGTTTCAGACCTCATTAAGGTCCCTTGTTAGTTTTTTTGTTTATGCACATCTGTCTCTTTCTTTGGTGGGGAGTGTTTGGCTCGGTGAGTAATAGTTCTAATTACAGTTGAGAGCAGGCGTGTGGGGTTAAGCTACCTGGTCACGGAGATGACGCTAAAGTGGACTCCTGGCTTCATGGTTAATGTTTGCTGTGTTCTGTTATGCTCATCTTTCCTTATCCTGCTGTTTGTTTATCCAGTGGGATCTTGCTATCTCCTGATGACCTCTTTCAATATCCAGGCCACGAGGAGCCCCTTTACACTTGACCACATTATAATACCAGCTGTAAACACACCCAGTGGACGTAATTATTTTTCAAATTATGTGAATGGATTCTGACCACATTTTATTTTTATATATAATATATATATATAATATTTTTTGAAAATCACTTAATATTTTTACAATTTAAAGTAACCATTTTAAAATATAATTTATTCCAGTTATGGCAAAGCTGAATTTTGTCTTCAGTGTCACATGATCATTGAGAAATCATTCTAATATGATGATTTGCTGCTCAAGAAACATTTCTTATTATTATCAATGTTGAAAATAGTTGTGCTACTTAATATTTTTGTGGAACCTGTGATACAATTTTTCAGGATTCTTGAATGAAAAGAAAGAATTGAAATTTTTGAATTCTTTACTGTCACTGTTGATCAATTTAATCCATCCTTGCTAAATAATATCAAAAATATTTTTAAACATTAATGGTAGTATAATATATATAGCTATATATTTATATATATCCATAGTTTAGATGGATAAATTAGGCAGAGTGTGAAAAGAGAGAAATGGTTAAAGGGGGGATGGGACTGAAAGCATGTGTTACAATCGTGTAGGATAAGCACGGTGGGCTAATGAATAAAGAACAAGTCCTAATGAATTTAATTACACACACGTCTGGCCAATGAAGGCTGCAAAGCAAAGAGAGGTGGGAAAAGAGAAGATTAGTGCTAACATGTAATAGAGGGATTACAGTACAAAACAGCAGCGGAAACTGTGTTTACACAGCAGATGCACATGTACCTGAGCATGCCAACAAATTTGTGTACTTTTTAATTTTTGAAACTGCCTTTGTCTCTCTCTCTCTCTTTCTCTTTCTTCATTATTCATGAGCTGTGTTCCATTCACCCGAGTCTTCAGATCAGTTCACTTCTATTCCTGTATGCATCGTATCCAGGATAAGACACCAATCATTGTTCCTTTTTTGCACTGAATCTGCACAGTTATGCAAAATTAACACAGAGACTGAATGCATAATCAGTTTCAACAATAAAAGTCTTTATCAACACAATTGTTTTACATACTGTATATAGCCAAAACATCAATAGAGATCATAAAGCAGTAACTTATTTATTTTAGTGCGTCACACTTCATTCATTTGTGTTCACTCTACGCATCTGCTCAGAAAGCACATACACATTGCTGCGATGCCTGTGAAAGAGCACATAATCTGGAAAGCAACACATTTAAAGCATCTTATTTCTTTACAAACATTTGATGAAAGTGTGGATTCATATTTGCCTAATGTTGTTTTTATGTCTAACAGGGAGTGTTTTGTGACATACTGGTGACAACTTGAGAATTTATCAATTTAGAAAATGATTATTTCACAATAAAATGATCAGGGACTCAAATTTTTATTAATAGGTTTAGCAAATTTATTAAAGCACTGTGTTTGCACTAGATGCAGTGCCTGAGCATATTATAGTTGCCTCTATGATATAATGAACAGGTGTTTGTTTTGTGTCACAATCATCACTATTGTACGTTTCAGCATGACTAAAAAGGCTGTATTGACCAATCAGTATTAATCGCCAGAACTATCCATTGTATAATGACTTTCATAACATGCAGAAAATAGAATACGAGCTAAAATGAATGTTACCACATAATTATATACTGTGGTTATGGAGTCCCACCGTCTTTTTTGCTAAAATAATTAAATTATTTCCTTGTTGCTGTTGTACAGCCTTTCTGTAGACAGTGTTTATCAACCATGACCAGTGTTGTGTGTGCTAATAATGACAAATGGTGATTAGCCATAAGAACAAAAACATTGTACCGCAGCCCCATTATTTAAAAACAGAGCTGCTGCGTGTTTCTGCCTCTCTGAGGGAATCAGCAGTGAACTCAAAATTATGCAAGAACTCAAAATCCCCACTGCATAATATTTTAAAGAGGAAAGTCAAATGTGCTGAATTAACCACCTTTTTTCAATAATTGTATGTTCAGTGAATAATATGGATGTTACATACACTCCTTAGGGCTCGTGTATAAAAACAAGCAGAATGAATTTTGGTGTAAATCATTCATAAATCCATTCCTCCATCGGTTGTTGCAGTCCACTGAAGATGACAGTCTACATAAGAATGGTTTTACGAACGATTTACCCAGAAAAGCATTCTGCTCATGTTTCAGCCTTTCCTCAGCTCTTTCTCCAAGTCTTTGTCATTGGCTACTGCTGCATAGTTATCCCATCGTTTCTTCAACTTCCACATTTCACATAACACATTCTTTGAAAACCTACTACATTCAAAATACATTTAAATTGTATGTCTTTGTCCACCACAGGAAAATCCTGGAGGTGAAGATCATTGACGATGAGGAGTACGAGAAGAACAAAACCTTCACCATCCACCTGGGGGAGCCGGTGCTGCTGGAGATCGGGCAGAAACACGGTCCGTGGATCTCTGTGTGACATCCATGCTCCATCTGCAGTTCTCTATGGATTTGTATTAGAAACCAGATTGGGGTCTCTTTTTAATATTGTATTAATAACTTACACATCTATCCCTGAATAATTCAGAAACAGATTTGATAGAAAGATTTCTTTGTGTGAATGGAGCGATTAATGGGAGACAGTGGAGGTCTTATAATGGTTATAATGGGAGAGAAGGAATAGGCAGTAATTGGTTGCAGTGCAAGCAGCCATGTTGAAGCAATATCTCTAGGCCGTTTCTGCACATTAATTATGTACTAACTGCTCTAATGTAATGTTCATCCCCATGCTCTTCAAATTGCCATACTGTTACAGAATCCAATTAAGAATGTTGATGCCATTAAGATAAGCATTTTTTGATGATTTCTGTCTTTCAGTCTCTCTCCTCAATGCTTTTCTAGGACACACAAAGAGATGATGTTTATTTCCTCCTTATGTGTAGTGCTATTATAGCATATGATACATTACAGTGGATTATAAAAAACACAAAGGGATGAATTCACTAAACAGCTGTGATGTATGTCAGAAACCTGAAACAAAAATCTGCTTCTTGTTCCCTACTCATTCATAGTCTAGTTCAGGGGTTTTCACATTGCATTCTGGGGACCCCTGGGGGCCACAGAAATGTTCTAGAGGGTCTGTGGAAAATGTTGGGTATTTTATTTATAGATTTTCCTCAATGCTTTTCTAGGACACACAAAGAGATGATGTTTATTTCCTCCTTATGTGTAGTGCTATTATAGCATATGATACATTACAGTGGATTATAAAAAACACAAAGGGACGAATTCACTAAACAGCTGTGATGTATGTCAGAAACCTGAAACAAAAATCTGCTTCTTGTTCACTACTCATTCATAGTCTAGTTCAGGGGTTTTCACATTGCATTCTGGGGACCCCTGGGGGCCACAGAAATGTTCTAGAGGGTCTGTGGAAAATGTTGGGTATTTTATTTATATTTATATATTTGTTTTGTGAAATTTTTGGGACTGCTTTGTCATTTTTATCAACATTTTGTATTTTTTATATATATTTATATATTGACAGCAATGTTTGTTAAAATTATTCAAATAGTTTTCATCAATTGAAATAAGCTTATATAAAATAAATTGATGAAAGAAGAAAATATAAAAATGAAAGCTAATTCAAAATATTCTCTCGTTATATTGTATGTACTATATAACAAATAATACTATAATAACACTGATTGAAAGCCCTACTGTAGCTTGTAACAGTGAGAAATAAAAACCTAATCTGAATATAGGTTTATATATAAAATCTGCATTCTCCCATTCCTTGCAACATTCAGACAGTTTGCTTTGGCTTTAGTACAATGAAAATATAAAAGTTAATGATTTATTTTTTGGAAACATGCTACAGAGTCACAACTAAGTATGCCAGATTGCTGTAGTCTGCTGCATCCTCTTCAAACTAGAACTCAAAAACGGCCTGCAAGATAGAAAATGATCATGCAAATTGTGTTCAACACACATTTTTGGCTGCATTTTCAGTTACTTGATTTGCAAAATTCCTTTAGTGAATTGAGTGCAACAACGAGCGTAGACTGTGCATGCAAATAAACATCGCTACCAGTGAGCACAATTCATTCTTAGTGAATTTCCTTGTAAATTGATTTCTACCATCTCAGCTATGTACAAACTCTATGGCTGAGTAGATTTTCGATGTGTCTTCCTCTGACAGGAGACTCCAATGATAACAAACCGGCGGTGGGAGAAGAGGAAGAGGAGGTGGCCAAGATGGGGTGCCCGAGTTTGGGAGAGCACACCAAACTGGAGGTGGTGATAGAGGAATCGTACGAGTTTAAGGTAAGTCCTGTGAATCAGTAAGAACAATACAGCTTTCATGAAATGGTCTTACCTGCTCAGTCTCTCACGTTCAATTTCTGTCTGAATCCTCACCTCCTTGTTCCCATGGTGACAGTCTCAATACTGGAGGTCACTGGGGTCAGGTAGCACAGCGATTTAGAAGAGATTTGAGGTAGAAATACTGCGTTACTCGCTCAACGATTATCCGCAGCACTCTAAATGCAGGATGACATTGGAGAAAATGAAATTCTGACAGGGTTGTGCATAGACGCCCACTGCCTCACTGAAATCAGTTTAGCTGAGACCTCTGTGCTCACTGGGTTACGAGACCGAGTCATATTAAATCTTGTCTACTACGAGGACACAGTTTTGTGGGATTAGGTTTGATTTGTCTTTTTGGTGTTTATATATGTATTTGTGTTTTTCAGAATACCGTCGACAAGCTCATAAAGAAGACTAACCTGGCGCTGGTGGTGGGCAGCAGTAGCTGGAGAGAACAGTTTGTTAGCGCTGTCACTGTCAGTGCAGGTCAGTGTCTTAATACATATGTTATTTGTGAAATTTACTAGTAATTTCTATGTGAAAATTGTTTCAAAGTAAATACTACACCAGTTGTTTGTCAGTGTACAATTATGTGAACCAAGACAAATTTTTCTTCAAAACCTGAAAGTTGTGTAACATTTAATTGTACTAAAAGAATTAAATTAAAATACATTTATTGAACTGAATTCATTTGAATTGAATGTTTTTTTCCTAATTACTATACCTTACTGCAAACTGTATTCTAGGGCTGGACAATTAATAAAATTTTATTTTCAATTACATTTTTGGCTTCCAACGATTATGAAAACTAGAAAATCGAAATAAAACGACGATTGTGTCACATTCCATTTTGCAGTGATGCTCTCATTTTGTCTTGTGTTATAAATACCCGTGACATTTTTTTTGTCATAATCAAGCAAACTTTTCTGTATACTGTACCTTTTGTTTACCTCCTCAGGTGATGATGATGAGGAGGAGAGCGGGGAAGAGCGTTTGCCCTCGTGCTTTGATTACATCATGCACTTCCTGACAGTTTTCTGGAAGGTTCTTTTTGCCTTCGTTCCACCCACAGAGTACTGGAACGGCTGGGCCTGCTTCATCGTCTCCATCACACTCATTGGGGTCCTGACCGCTGTCACTGGAGATTTGGCCTCTCACTTTGGTTGTACAGTAGGCCTGAAGGACACTGTCACAGCTGTGGTGTTTGTGGCCTTGGGCACATCAGTGCCTGGTGAGTGTTTATTTGTGTATTAGATGCCATAGCATATAGCTGATTAGTAAAGGATAATGTACAGTCATCCAGCCATTATCGTAAAATAAACCCCAAATGCCACGATTAGCCAATTAGAATCAAGTATTCTATCAAATATTGATGAATTACATACTGTAATGTTGAAATGTTGCAACTGCTTTCAACATCTTTTCTAATTTATTGTTCCATAATGACCCCAGTCAGCTTTTGTGTGGATGTGTGGATGTTGTAGTTCATTTAGACTGTTTAATGATGTGGACTATTTAGCAGACCATGATTTGCAAGAGATCTGTGTGTTTGTCTTGGCATTAGCGGCATTAGAGTTGATGGACTGATTCTGCTCAAGCTCTGTATGTCAAACCATCCTCAAGCTCCAACACACATAATGAAAAGATCCACTTCAAAAGACGAATCTGAGATCTGAGAAATGAGATCTCTTTTATATCTCTGTTGTTTCTTCAAGACAGCAGTGAGATTAAACAGAGGGCAAATTGTGCTTAAATTTCTGTCTGCTCAGTTAGAGGTGGGCGATATACAAGTACAAATTTATATTACAATATTTATTATAAATTTTATTTGGTTATATATTTTATCATGTGCAGTTTATAATGTGTATATTGTAATATACACATTGTAATGGGGAAAAAATTCTGGCCATTTTTTCAAGTTATGGTAGACCCTTGGTAGTCACAATTTTGATATTATATGTTTTTTCAGGGTAAAATAGTAGCAAAAAAGTGTATATTAAGTTACAAGCATAAGAAAACAATATTTGCCCAAATCTTTTTGGAAGTACTTCACCTGTATAGATGTCGATTCACTAACCATAGATTCAGTTCATTTAGCAAAGCATTTGTCAAACTGACTCAAACTGATAAATCCTTGAGTAATCTGATCTGAATGATTAATTAAAAGAATCAGTTCATAAGACTCATTTGTTGTTAATCAAACTAGACTAGTTGGACTGTGATATTTTTGTGTGCACTCAATAATGCACTCAATAGTCTTTTATCACATCACATTCAAATCAGACTGAAAACTTTTATAACTCAAGTGATTTATAACTGAAGTAAAACAAGTTATTTTCTTCTTTATTGGTTTATTGTTTTAACCTGTCTGCCACCCATTCCTTACTGCCAGAAATTTCTTCTGAGAAAAAGACAATTGTAATCTCATTTTTGTCTCATCTAGATATTTCCAAGAGATCACAGTAGAAAATTTGGGCACAAACTGTGCTCAGATTTCCAAGATACCAAAGTCTGCAATCACAAGCCAGATATTTTAATTTGAAATTAATAATTTCTCATCAAGTTCTTCTAAGACTCTTAATTGTATGTCAACTATTATCTCATTTGTTTCTGCTTTTCTTTCTCATATGGACAGTGGCCGAGAGAGCTCAACACGCTGCAACTTAAGAAAACACATGCAAATAAGAAAAAGCACCAGCAAATTAAGAAAACATCATCAGTTTGACAACACATGTGCTGCAAATACTCACAGCACGACCAAATACAGAAATGCACTGCAAATACTCGCAACACAACCAAATACACAAAAGTGTTGCAAGTAGCACAGACCACAACGGAAATGTTTCAAGGGGACCCCAACAACACTTTTACTAGTTTTATTATAGTAAAAGTGTAGTAACCATGTTTTTTGGCATATTAATTATAAAAACCACAGTTGTACAAATACCATGGTTAAACTATGGCTACTGTAGCAAAACCATGGTTAATTTGTGGTTACCATGGTTTAACTATATTAACCATGTTTTTTTTTGTTTTTTATTTCGTAAGGTAAGTTGTAAAAGTAAGTTAGCCAGCTTTCATAACGTTTCACAGTTACAGTAATTATTTTCAATTACATTTTTGGCTTCCAACGATTATGAAAACTAGAAAATCGAAATAAAACGACGATTGTGTCACATTCCATTTTGCAGTGATGCTCTCATTTTGTCTTGTGTTATAAATACCCGTGACATTTTTTTTGTCATAATCAAGCAAACTTTTCTGTATACTGTACCTTTTGTTTACCTCCTCAGGTGATGATGATGAGGAGGAGAGCGGGGAAGAGCGTTTGCCCTCGTGCTTTGATTACATCATGCACTTCCTGACAGTTTTCTGGAAGGTTCTTTTTGCCTTCGTTCCACCCACAGAGTACTGGAACGGCTGGGCCTGCTTCATCGTCTCCATCACACTCATTGGGGTCCTGACCGCTGTCACTGGAGATTTGGCCTCTCACTTTGGTTGTACAGTAGGCCTGAAGGACACTGTCACAGCTGTGGTGTTTGTGGCCTTGGGCACATCAGTGCCTGGTGAGTGTTTATTTGTGTATTAGATGCCATAGCATATAGCTGATTAGTAAAGGATAATGTACAGTCATCCAGCCATTATCGTAAAATAAACCCCAAATGCCACGATTAGCCAATTAGAATCAAGTATTCTATCAAATATTGATGAATTACATACTGTAATGTTGAAATGTTGCAACTGCTTTCAACATCTTTTCTAATTTATTGTTCCATAATGACCCCAGTCAGCTTTTGTGTGGATGTGTGGATGTTGTAGTTCATTTAGACTGTTTAATGATGTGGACTATTTAGCAGACCATGATTTGCAAGAGATCTGTGTGTTTGTCTTGGCATTAGCGGCATTAGAGTTGATGGACTGATTCTGCTCAAGCTCTGTATGTCAAACCATCCTCAAGCTCCAACACACATAATGAAAAGATCCACTTCAAAAGACGAATCTGAGATCTGAGAAATGAGATCTCTTTTATATCTCTGTTGTTTCTTCAAGACAGCAGTGAGATTAAACAGAGGGCAAATTGTGCTTAAATTTCTGTCTGCTCAGTTAGAGGTGGGCGATATACAAGTACAAATTTATATTACAATATTTATTATAAATTTTATTTGGTTATATATTTTATCATGTGCAGTTTATAATGTGTATATTGTAATATACACATTGTAATGGGGAAAAAATTCTGGCCATTTTTTCAAGTTATGGTAGACCCTTGGTAGTCACAATTTTGATATTATATGTTTTTTCAGGGTAAAATAGTAGCAAAAAAGTGTATATTAAGTTACAAGCATAAGAAAACAATATTTGCCCAAATCTTTTTGGAAGTACTTCACCTGTATAGATGTCGATTCACTAACCATAGATTCAGTTCATTTAGCAAAGCATTTGTCAAACTGACTCAAACTGATAAATCCTTGAGTAATCTGATCTGAATGATTAATTAAAAGAATCAGTTCATAAGACTCATTTGTTGTTAATCAAACTAGACTAGTTGGACTGTGATATTTTTGTGTGCACTCAATAATGCACTCAATAGTCTTTTATCACATCACATTCAAATCAGACTGAAAACTTTTATAACTCAAGTGATTTATAACTGAAGTAAAACAAGTTATTTTCTTCTTTATTGGTTTATTGTTTTAACCTGTCTGCCACCCATTCCTTACTGCCAGAAATTTCTTCTGAGAAAAAGACAATTGTAATCTCATTTTTGTCTCATCTAGATATTTCCAAGAGATCACAGTAGAAAATTTGAGCACAAACTGTGCTCAGATTTCCAAGATACCAAAGTCTGCAATCACAAGCCAGATATTTTAATTTGAAATTAATAATTTCTCATCAAGTTCTTCTAAGACTCTTAATTGTATGTCAACTATTATCTCATTTGTTTCTGCTTTTCTTTCTCATATGGACAGTGGCCGAGAGAGCTCAACACGCTGCAACTTAAGAAAACACATGCAAATAAGAAAAAGCACCAGCAAATTAAGAAAACATCATCAGTTTGACAACACATGTGCTGCAAATACTCACAGCACGACCAAATACAGAAATGCACTGCAAATACTCGCAACACAACCAAATACACAAAAGTGTTGCAAGTAGCACAGACCACAACGGAAATGTTTCAAGGGGACCCCAACAACACTTTTACTAGTTTTATTATAGTAAAAGTGTAGTAACCATGTTTTTTGGCATATTAATTATAAAAACCACAGTTGTACAAATACCATGGTTAAACTATGGCTACTGTAGCAAAACCATGGTTAATTTGTGGTTACCATGGTTTAACTATATTAACCATGTTTTTTTTGTTTTTTATTTCGTAAGGTAAGTTGTAAAAGTAAGTTAGCCAGCTTTCATAACGTTTCACAGTTACAGTAATTGTGTATTTCATCAGTTTATTTAGGCTAATGATATCCAAAAAAGCTAAGGAATCATATGATCAAGATGTTACAATAAACAAAAATCTCACCTCTCAGAGCAGACATTGATAAGCATGTCCCAGCCAGGTTTGTCACTTGTTGCTGTTCCCTTAAACATTTCCGATGTGGTCTGTGCATATTTGCAGCGTGTTCCAGTATTTGGTTGTGTTGTGAGTATTTGCAGTGTGTTTCTGTATTTGGTCGCGTTGTGAGTATTAGCAGTGCATATGTTGTCAAACTGATGAAGATGTTTTCTTAATTTGCTGGTGTTTTTTCTATTTGCATGTTTTTTCATTTGCAGCATGTCGAGTTCTCTCGGCCACTTTTAGAAGAAACATCTGAGACAATGTTGATAACCTGAATTAAACATAACTGAGACCTCCATTCTGTCTTCTGAGCCAGTGTTTCCCACCCCTGTTATTGGAGGCATATTTTGGAAGTCTCATTTATCTGACCGATCCATTTCAGGTTTCTACTCATGTGCTGAATCAGGTGTGTTAAATTAGGAACACTTCGAAATGTGTACTGTTGGTGTGCTTCCAGGAACAGGTTTGAAAAACATTGTCCTGAACTATCAGCAATGCCTGTCATTAAAATGTTCCTCTGGGGCACTTTCAATTCTCACCTTTCTTCTTTCATCTTTCTTTTTCTCTGTCTTTCATTTTGGCCTCTACAGATACCTTTGCCAGCAAGGTGGCAGCCATCCAGGACCAATACGCCGATGCATCCATTGGAAATGTGACAGGTAGTAATGCAGTTAATGTCTTCCTGGGTATCGGAGTGGCGTGGACCATCGCTTCTGTATACTGGAACAGTCAGGGCAAAAAATTCCTGGTCCCGCCAGGGTCGCTGGCGTTTTCTGTCACCGTCTTCACCATCATGGCACTGGTGTCTGTTCTGACACTACTGTACCGCCGCCGGCCCTCTGTGTCTGGGGGCGAGCTGGGGGGCCCACGAACCACCAAGCTGCTCACCGTGTTCCTCTTCATCATCCTGTGGCTCATCTACATCATGCTGGCCTCACTGGAGGCTTACTGCCACGTGCCTGGCTTCTGAGAAAGTTCATAAGAGAGATGTACTCTTTACTGTAAAACCTCCCATCATTCTTCCTTTCTTCTTTTGTTTATATAAGAAGTCTAAAATAAGTGTTTACATCTGTTCTTACTGATTATTATCGGTGTTGAAATTGAACTCGCATCCTTTCGCTAACACTAGATGAGTGTCAGTGGTGGATGATAGAGGCTCTGTCATGCACAGCTTCTCTTTATAGATGGATCTCTCTTACATGGTGTCTGCCACCACCTGGATATTCAGACACAGCAACACCCTCCAGAATACTCTCCAGAGAGCCCCCTCAGCATTTTTCTTGCTTCAGTGCTGTTTTTTTCAAGGATGGTCCTTTATACCAAACTTCGATATTCTCTCAGAAATCCCTCTTCTATCATTCTCTCTTCCCTCCAAGTCGCTGTGAATAGACTCAGATTCCCACTGCAGAGATTTGGGCATGCTTCACACCTTTACCTACCCACAAGACATGAACACACTCATTTGTCTTCTCTTGCCTGTTACTGCAGACATTCGTACACACACAACTATAATTTCAGCTCAAGCGAACCTGTGGGGGCTGAGCTTCTCAAACTGACTCCGCCCCCAGTTTGACCTTTACCAATAACCCTGGCCAAATTCTACTCAAACATCTTCATCACCTCTGAACATGCCCCCAGTGCTACCTACACCAGAACTTCTTCAACTCTGACCTCACCCTCAATAATGATACATCAACTTCCTCACTATTAATCTCGCTTCAATGTCTTCACAGACCCTGCCCTAGCACTACTTATACCACGTTTTTGACCAATGACCTCAGCCCCAACATTACATAAATACCTTTATCACCTCTGACCCTGCCCCATCACTAATTACACCACACCTTCTTCACTTCTGACTCCACCCATTACACTACATATACATTACACCTTTTTAATCTCTGGCCCACCCCAATATTACCAGACCTTATTTACACATGACTCCAATTCCCAACACAACAGACTTCTCTTCACTTCTGACCCCATCCACGACATTTCCTGTGCCACACCTCCTCCATCACTGACCCCACCCCTACATTATCTATAGCACACATATTCACCTCTGATCCCACACCATCACTACCTACACCACCACACCTTCTTCAATTCTGACTCTGCCCACAACTCTACATATGCCACAACTTCTTTAAATGTGGCTCTGCCCCAATATTATCTATACCACAGCTTTTTTATATATGATCCCGCCCTCGACACATCATACCACACCCTCTTCTCATCTACTATTTGCTGGTGTTGTACATTTTTTAAAAATACTCTTGTGAAATTTTTATAATTTATTTATTTATTTTTACCATGCTAATGAAAGTGAATTGTGAAGTCAATAGAAGGAATGTAAGAAGGAAAGAAATATCTTTTTCAGTCTTTTTTGGTTAATTTTGTTGAAACTTATCAAAACCTGAAGAGATACACAATTTGCATGGAACAACATTAGTAATAGAATGGAGACCAAAATAAATAGTTTAACAGTGACAGTGACATAAGAACCAAGGTGTTGGTGTTTATTCATGTGATATTTATTGATATTTATTATTATGAACTATGTATTATATGGGGAAATATTGTAGGCTGTATGTGTGTGAGAGCATGTATTCATGTAATGGGCAAGTGCAACAGATTTGATGAAATGTATGAGTGTTGTGTGTGCCAATCTGTCGAACAGTGTTCAAAGTCTTTTTATCTGTCTATGAGTGTCTGAAAGTATGAACTTGTGTAACACTCAAGCACAGTGAATTTTGTGTCTGTCACTGAAACGCTCAGGAGTTTCAGGCTCTCATCCCGTGAGTTTCTGGATCTTCTCCCAACATCCATGAATTCACAAATGGCTGCAGCTTACATGTGGTACATTGGTTGGTCCTAAAACATGTAGTGAGAAAGCAGACTGTCCTGTCGTACCAAGCCATGTTCCACAGCTTCACTGTGTCAAGTTTAAGCTCTATTCACTACTGAAGGCATAGCGTCATTGAGTCATGTGGTTGTGTGTGAACACAACATGGGTGCCTTGATATCAACAGTACAATGTCTCTTGGCCATACTGTAGGTCTGTCACTGAGTTTACACTGACAAGATGGTAAAAATTGTGAGTTTCGTTCACGCCCAACGTGGATATTTTACCCGTGAAATGTGAGCCCCTCACTTTCGCCACATTAATCCAGAGCCGTATCTAATTATCCAAGCGCTTACCTCTCCTGATAGCATCGACGCCACCTAATTTGCGTTATGTGCATGATTAATGGATAATGGATCAGATTCTAGTTCAGTTTCAGTTTGCTCTCTTTAATCAGTGTCCTCTATCTGCTCCTTAACTAAAAAGACTTGGTTAATTTCCTGTTAGCCAGGAGTTAAACTAGCTTAGTTAGCCCAACTCTCTATCCCATACTTCTCTTAACTCAGTATGCAGATATTATATAATTGTTTACAAGGGTGTTATGTGTCCCCATTTCCCCAGCTATCAGCCATCTGCTTGGCCCAACCTGGGACACATGCTATAGGAAATGAAAAGTTTTAGCAGTAGGACATTCTGGTGTTGCTCACTATTAGGGGCCCCAGCAGACCAGTGCTTCAAACTTTTTAATGCACTAAATAAGTCATTTTTAAGAGCTTTCTGAAAAATGGTAAGAGGGAACGCAAAGTCCCATTACCTGATTTATAATGACGCCAATGGTTAAATGCACCATTTTATGATGACACCATTGGCTTAAAAGAGGCTGGGCTGCTACAGCCCTCCATTTTCTTGAATGATAAAAACATAGAGGTTCAACAAAAGCCACAGTCAGCCATCTATGGAAATGTTGTAAGTGCTCTTCTTACACAATGTGTGACGCAAAAGTGGGCGAAACAGATGTACATACAGTCCGCATTTATACCGGCATATGTGTATTTATACATTCAAATGATACCAGATTAAAAAAAGCACTGAGTGATGTATTTTTAGTGCTTCTTGTTGCTAGGCGACGTCTTAAAAGAGTCGTTGTCTTTCTGTCATTATGTTGTCTGGTGTCCGTGCTCAAGGGTGGGTGGAGGAGTATCTGTTGGATTGTAATTACTTTATAAGGTCACTCTCGTCTCTCTCCTAATATCTGTCCACACAGGGTTAATGAACTTAAAAGTTCCACCCTAATTCAAGGACAATCCTTAATTCAGAATCTTAAATTGCCCCCTAGAGTTTTGCATTATATTAATATAAGCTTTTGCTTTGTGGAAAGCAGAGCAGTGACTGATCTCCCTGAGGTAGACATATTCAAACATACCAATCATAGTTGCATCAAACTAATAGGGTTTTCAAAAAAAAAAAAAAAGACCAACTATAGAGGATTATGTTGTTGAATCTCCGTGTAATGCTCAGTAGCCAGTGGATAACCTTAAAGAATACCATATGAGACCATATCATGCTAGAAGATCTGTTTCTGTTTATTTTAGGGAAAGGACCATCTCTTGTGGACTAAAGCATTGCGACTGATTTATGATCAAATAACAGCAGATGTGCATAGAAACGCACTTAAAGGGATAGTTCATCCAAAAATGACCATTCTGTCATCACTGTGTCGATTCAACCTGTATGATTTTCTTTCTTCTGTGGAACACAAAATAAGTTTTGTCAGTACACTTAATGTCAGTGGGAACCACGATATCAGTAAACCCCATTAACTTTAATTGTATGGAAAAGGGAGAAAAAAAAGCACTGAGACATATTTTTCATGTTCATTGTTGGGCGAACTGTGCCTTTAAATGCATTTTTACACTTGTTTACTGTTATTTGATCTTTAATCAGTCTCGACTTACCCAAAACACTCTCGCATAAACAAAATGACCTTGAATATCTGATATTCATAGTCTGTCATAGCATGTTAATTTCTTTCTCGTATGTCAGAGTGCTTGTGTCATGTTAGAGTCCCGGTGTCACATGTGCTCTTTTGTGGTACTTCAATCTTAAAGCATGTCTTTTCTATGTGTGTGCATTCGTCTTCTAATATTGCATTTCTCTTTAATCACAAACATTGAAATATTTACAAAATAAATTAATTGTGTTTGGTTTTGTATGTATAGCTATTTGATAAATTACTGTTTTAAAATACTTCTTTTTTTTTTAAGCCAAGTGTTCTTCACTTAGTTATATGACACTATTGTTGTCTTGAGATATGTTCTGTACTAAGATCAATTTATATTTTGGGTAAAAAAAAAAAACGTGCTGCATAGAGTACTTTATCATAATCTTAACAACAACAACAAATAATTTATGTTCTCAATGTTGTATCTAAAAGTATGTATGAGGGAGAAATGTGTGATATTATGTGAACTCATTAAAGCTGTAATGTCAAGGGAAACTACAGTATTTTGCCAAAAGATAGAGAATGAGTCTCTGTTTGTAATGCGTAAAACTTTGTTTCATATTTAATTTATTATTGAGTACATTAAAGTTGGAATTGTATATTACTAAAAGACTTTTTAACTCTTTATTAAAAAAGTTGTTTTCTCTCAAGCATGACAAGAGAAAACAAAACACCTCTGTTAATCTATTGTCCATTGCTTCATATCAAACTGTAATGTGCAAGGTCATTGACCTTTTGCTAGGAGTTTGATTGACAGGTGATCTGACCAATTCCAATCAGTGCAGTCGAAACAGGCTTGCAATGCCTGCTCTGTTTCGTTGGTCCACCTCTTTACAGACTTTACTACAGGTTTAGCAGATTTAAGTTTATGCCTGTAGGTCGGTATAAGATGAACCAGGCAGTGGTCAGAGAGTCCTACAGCTGCTCTGGGGACCGAGCGATATGCATCCTTTATTGTGGAGTAACAATGGTCCAGTATACTACTGTCTCTGGTGGGACATGTAATATGCTGTCTGTATTTTGGCAGTTCACGGGAAAGATTTGCTTTATTAAAGTCCCCGAGAATGATTAAAACAGAGTCCGGGTGTTGCTGTTCTGTCTCTGTGATCAGATCAGCGAGTTTCTGTAAAGCTGAGCTCACGTGTGCTTGTGGAGGGATGTAAATACTCACGAGAATGAACGAGTGAAAATCCCACGGCGAATAGAACGACTTACAGTTAATGAAAAGCGCTCTAGATCGGAACAGCACATCTTCTTTAAAGCTGTAACATCTGTACACCACCTTTCGTTGATGTAAAAGCATGTCCCGCCGCCGCGTGATTTCCCCGTTGATTCTGCATCGCGGTCTGCTCTAAACAGCTGAAAGCCCGGCAGTTGTAGCGCGCTGTCCGGAATGGTGTCATTCAGCCAGGTTTCCGTGAAACACAGAGCAGCAGAGTGTGAAAAATCCTTATTTGTCCGGGAGAGCAGAAGAAGTTTGTCCGTTTTGTTGGGTAGAGAGCAGAGGTTTGCCAGATGGATGCTCGGCAACGGCGTTCTGAATCCGTGCTTCCTGAGCTTCACGAGCGCGCCGCCTCGCTTCCCTCGTCTGCACGTCCTGAAGCGCTTGATCAGCGCAGCTGCTCCGCCAAGTACAACGTTCAGCAGAACGTCCGAATAAACGAAATCCGGTAGAAGATTGTGTGGTATGTTCTGCCGAATGTTCAGCAGCTCATCCCTGGTAAAACTGATCGTGTTTGAGAAACAAAATCAGGAAAAACTAACAAAAACAGTACAAACACTGGAGAGCCAAACACTGCGGCTGCCGTCTGCGGCGCCAACGTGTAGAGACTGTCATAACGCAGAATCTGCCATTTTGTCTACAACCAAACCAGACAGGAGAGTAGAATTATGGTTAAATGATGTGTATTGACATCTGTCTGCGGGTTGAAACAAGATACCTTCTGATGTTCATTCATGTTTATTTTGTGCTATAACTAGTAAAGAGGAAGAGATGATTGGTTCACCTGCTGCTTGAACTGAGGCACTACCGCGATACACGACACATTAAAAATAGCCACAAAACAATATTTATTGTTTGGATTCTTTTAAAAAAAGACAAAATTTGAAAGCTGAGGCTTTGTTTCATACCAAAAGTAACCAGATTTGTCTTGTCTGTCGGCACATCATCAGTTTCCTCATTGCTGTGTGATCTATTTTTCATTGCGGGAGAACATCATGTGTGGCGTGAGAGCACCATTGCTTGTCGGACGTAGCAACAGTAACTAAGGGGGGGCGGGTCTATGCGAAGAGCCAATTAGCTGTATAATCTAATGTACAGAATGAGCATTTAAAGGTATCTTATAGGCTGTGTGTTGTTTAGATATTTAAAAAAAAAATTTAAGTGCTTTTTGTCCATATAATGAAAGTCAGTATGGGCCCAAAACAACACTGGTCCCAATTTACTCTAATTATATGGACAAAAACTAAATACATGTTTGCATTTTTGTATGCGTTCAACAGAAGAGAGAAGGTTCTGCCGTTTTGGAACAACATAAGGGTGCGTAAATTGAACATCTTTGAAGTTTTAAAAGAGTTGTATTCATTTCCCAAGGTTTGTGAGGGAGTTAGTGTTTTTATAACTCAAAAAACTTTTATCTCAAACGATCAAGGAAAATTTGATTCGTCATCATGACCCCCTTAACGAATCTATGCTTGAATGGTGATATTCTTTTCAAGCTCTTGCGTTCTCCAGAATGTTTGACAGATGGCTCCTGACTCGGTCCCATCCCCCTGCAGACCACTGAACAGCGCAGTAGTACAAAACAGTCATTAGAGGGAAAGAAAGGAAGAAGGAAGACAGGGGAGAGGAAATGCTGTGGAGTGGAGAATGTAAATTACAAGAACAGAACAACACAACAGAAACTCTCACAGGGGAAGAAAAGGAGGCAAATACGCTTTTTAAAAAGTCTGTTCATTTGAGGAGCTACAAATATCTCAGCAAGTAAGAATACGAGATGTAAAATCAATATAACATGCTCTCATTTATTATTGCTCAGGAACCACATTAAAGAACCATTCTGACAAGCATCTGTGAAGGTGCAGCAAACGCACTATTGCAGTTGAGTTGCCTCTAAAGACCACAATGAGATAAATTTTCTTCAACTGAAAAAGAGCACAGCCATCAGGAGAATTAATAATTGATGTACTAATTGATCTTGCTAATTGAACTTTTGTATTGTTGTAACTTTAAAGCCTGCATGAAATGAAAATTCACCCTATCTTCTGTCTAAATTCAATTTTTAAACAAGATGCCACTCAGCTGTCTGGTGAAATGGCAAACCTCTCTCTGGTGACGTATCTGCCAGACTCCAATCATTCACTCCACTTAAACCCGGGCCCACAATCAACTGCGGTCTCGCATTCAAATCTGCCTCCTACCAATCAACAACTGATGGATAGAACCAAGTCCTGCCCCTAAATTTTTAATCTGTTTTACTTGTATGTACATCACAATACAGAGGAAAAGATCTGTTGCTACATCGATTTCATCGCAACTTTACGTTTCTTTCCAACATAAAAGATACATAAAAGATAAGAAAATTCAATCAACATTCAGTCAACATTTTCCAGTGCATTTTTATTTATTTAAGACTTATGACATTTATATTTTCCTGGACATTGTAGAGAGCTAGTGTTTTATGCAGTGAGGAAAGTTGAGAGGGAAAAAAATGCAATAAAAAGAGAAACCTTGATCTTTATTGGAAACCAGAAATAGCTAGCGAAAGCAAAGGCCAATGTTCAATAATGCATTTGAACTGAAGCACATTTCCCTCATAACAATGCTGTCACTCTTCACTTGAGATCCTTGGACCTCTTCTGAACTTTTTAAGCACATTTTAATGGTCAAATAAGAAGCTTATATTCTTTCTCTCTCCATCTTTGCTTCCTTTTTCAAGTAGATCCCCACTCACAGCATCTGAATTGTTTTGTATGTGTCTGGACGTGTGCCGTTGTGCTAAAGATTAATATTATTGAATTGGACAAGACGTTCACACTGAAAGCAGGTGCAAAGCGCTTTCATATCCCACTACAGGTGATGATGCTGAATGCTGAATGGTTATTGTTCAGAGAATCACCTTCTTTAAAAATTTGGAGAACAAGAGTCTTCTTGATTGATGAGGAATTAGATGTTCATTGTTTTCAGTGATAGTCTGTTTTAGCAATCCACAGCTCTATTTTCAGATCATGGGGAGACAAAAAAAAAAAGACACAGCTGCAGTGACAAACATTACAGTGTCAATTTAGTGTCATCAATCACAGCGGCCGTGGTGAGAGACGGGGCTGAAGCAGGGTCAGCTCACATCGTGCTTCAGAACTCACCCACAGTTGTTACTGGAAATGGATTCCACTCTGGCCAATTACAGCTGTCATGTTGTATCTCACAGCCAGATTTGACTGGCGAGCTCGGTTGGATTGGTGGCAGGCCCGCAGGTAAGTACAAACACCAAGATAGTAACTAAAATACATTGATATGTCTGTCAAAGCAGGGAAGGCACAATAACTGCTAATTCACAGCTTACAGCCTAATGTAAAATGTCTAAATTAAACATTAGCTTGAGGTCAAAAACCTTAACATGTAACCAGCAGATAAACAATTTCGCTAATTTAGCTCAACATCGCACTGCGCTTTGCAGGAAATAGAAAAACTCTTTCTAGTAGCCTAATAAAAGAAGACACATGAAGCCCTTATGCAGAGTCTGTAATTACATGTACAGACCCTTTGTGTCTGCCAGGTTGCCCGAATGTCACAGAAAGAGGGTCGGAAATGGTTTGAATTACAACGATGAAGAAAAGGAATACGAGGTGGGAGGAGAGAGAGTTGTTTCATGAATCACTAAGCTTAGGCAAGTTAGTCATCAAGTGTCACTTCAGGGTGAGGATGATTCACTCTTAGTGCAAACTAACACTGTAGGCTTTCTGAACGTTCCTGAGCTTTCTAATATTAGAAAACAGTGAGAAGCGGTGCATCACTTTGCCTGCTTTTTGCGATGGTTGTTCCATCTCATTGCAAACAAGTTTGTCTCTTTGAAAGTGTATTTATGTCACTTGGAGTGTGTAAAAATCTGTCACACACCACATATCAGTGGAGAGGAAAGGAACTGTTGCAGTCAATACGAGTATATGGCCAACTGACAAAGGCCAATGGGCAAATTTGGCCAGGACACCATAGTTACACCCCTAAAACTTTTTGAGAAATACCTTTGGATCTATTATGACCGCATACTATCTTTGGAGCTAGAAATCAGTGGTTAAGTTGTATTTACAACACTGTTCCAGAACAGTTCAACCCAAATATTCAGATGTGTCCAGCGCATTTTATGGAGGACTGTTTCCTGATCCTGGTAGAGTAGACTACAATGCCGGCTGTTCTGACTCACAGACTGTCAGTATGTTTTTTATATTTGCCATTGACGATTCAAACGTGAGTTTTGAGCAGTGTAGAGT